CTTCCTTCCTTCCTTCCTTCCTTCCTTCCTTCCTTCCTAGTTTAAAATGTACACCTAGCATAAGCTGTCTTCTTTTCTAAGTGGCACAGTTCTTGCCATTCTTTTACATGTATGTGTTGACCTGAAAGATTACCATAAGCCTGTTGAGGTTATTAGCATGGAGGCTCAGTTGGAACGTATAGCACCGTGAACAGTAAATAGACATATCCTATTCTGGCACAGATCTGTCTCAGCACTTGGATTTACGTTCTGTTCCCTGTGCACCCCTGAACTAATTCCCATTCTTCAGCCAGATCTTTCCATCTTCCTGCGTAGCATCTGATAATTGTCTGAAATAAGAAGTTCACACTTGAAAGTAATCTGGGGAAATTATTCTAATCCTTGGCTTTACTGCTTCCTTTAGGCCTGTTTAACTGAGGGAATGATTCTGCACAGTTACGGGATGTTGCTGCCTTGTGGTGTAGACAAGTTCCATGGCACAGAGTATGTATGTTGCCCTCAGACCAAAATTGTAGATGAAGCTCTCTCTAAAGAAAAGGAGGATGAGGATGAAGAGGAGGATGAGGATGAAGACGATGACGGTATCAAAAGGTAGCAATGAACGGCATCAAATATCTGGGTTTTATCAACATTGTTTTCCGTGCTGGGTGGAGCATAAAAGAAAGGTTGATTTTAGTTAAGTAAAAATGGCATGGTTCATTTGCCAGTTTTTTTCCTAAAGTGAGGCAACTGGAGTCTTTCAAGAGGAGTTTGTATGCACTCTTGTCTCCTAGAACAGGAAGTGGGGCTAGATGATGTCTGGAATACCATGACCCGCTTCTTATTTCAAAAGATGCCATTCAGGAAATACACAACTCCGTCCATTTTATGGGAAAAACAGAATCTGTTCCCTCTTTGTTGTTTTCTGGATTCATCTGTTACTTCTTGTGAGCATGTTAAAGAAATGGGCTGAAATATGCTGTTTGTTAGCTGCGATATATCCATGGAATTTCAGTTCATATTATAAAAGTCCATTTTGGCATGATGGTTTAAAAGGTCACTGACTCTAACAGGTAACATAGAGGCTGTCAAGCCAGTGTTTTATTTGTAGTCAAGATCTCTGTACTTGTTTCCCAGTGCATTTAAACATTTGGGAGAAAAACCGTTGCCTTTTCACTTTCTGTTCTCACTCTGTCCCTTCTAGTGAATTGCCTACTGAAGCCGATACAGATGATTTCACAGTGGGAGTCATGGAGATGAATGAGGAGGATGAGGAGGAACAAGAAGAAAATGAAGAAGAAGTAGTAGTAGACCAGGATTATTATTACGATAGCTACAAAGACTACAACGAAGAGCTTCCATCAGAACCAAGCAATGGAAGATCTTTCTCTCAGAAGGAAATCATCAGTGATGTGAAAGGTAAACAGCCACACTGCAGTTTTACTCTGCTTCCGTCTGTTGCAACTATTATCAGTTGACTGTGGCGATCCATATGTTGCCTTCTCAGTTTTCCCTTTGGAATGTTTAATTTTCAAGTAAGTCAGGAGATAAAAAGCTTGCACGCTATTTACTAAAGGTAACTCTTTCCCGCTTTGAAGGCAGGTGACCTGCTCCCCAAAGTACTCATTATCAACTCAGGGTAAGCGCCATTTCCTAGGGCAGTATAGAAATATATTTGTGCGGCCCAATTTCTGCAGAAATGTTGCAAATTGGTTCATGTGAATAGCCATTATCGGAGTGACAAGCTATTCAGATATTCTCTGTAAAAGGAGCGCTAGGAAACAATAGGTCCAATGGTTGATCTACTCCTTTCGGTTTCAAAACTAATTTAGCAGGTAGCTGTTGTGCTCCCAAAAGAAATACACTGAATAGAGCAAGTGCTGCTGCTTTTCAACAAATGCTTGCAGCTTTTGTTAAATAACATTTGGATAAGGCCACTGCTTGACATCTTGTTCTGCATGAGGGTCTACAAAGAGCAAAGTCGTGCTAAACTGCAACTTATAGGTTGGCTGTTCTTTTATAGAGCAGGTAAAACTCTTTTTGTTGTGTTTGTAAATTATTCCAGACCTGCAGGTAACTTCAGCTGTTGAATGAAGCTGAAGTTATGTATGTGTGGGGCCCAATTAGGTTGTATTTGTTGTAATGTATAGAATTGTCTCTTAACTGGTTACTCTTTGTTCCTTCAGAATTTCAAATTGTGCCACTGAAGCATTCGTCTTTCAAAACTGCAATTCATTAACTAGACATTAACCTGCAAAAGCTGTGTTTGCTGACTGAGTTGCAGTTTTAATCGATGTTTCCTAATGCCCTTTGAATGCAGTTAACACATTATGACTGCTTTTGATGCTTAAAATAATACTTGTGGTTTCTCGGTATCATTACATTCTGGTCTCATAACTGCATGATTTTCTAAAGAAACAATTGCTGGAAGATGGGGGTGGTAAACATTTAGAAGTTTTGGAAATGAAAACCTAGGTTTCAGGAACTTAGGTGGTTGAAGGGATTCCTCTTTCACCAACTCTCTCCTAGTAGAGAATAAACCAGAAATAAATGTCAGGCAATCGGTCCTTCTGCATAAAAACGTTTTGTGTGGGAACTGAATGGATATGTTGAAGCAGTCGCTGGTGTGATTGCCCGTGGGGCTGTCTTGCCTCAGCGCTGCTCCACTATCTACTCTTCCACCCTAACTTTTTAAGAAGTAAAGCAGGTCACGTTGAGTGAGAACTAGAGCTTACTGGGACTAATTTGGCCCCAGCAACGGCCTGATAGCAAAAGCCCAGAAGAGCTCCGCAGGGCCCCAGGTGAATGCCAACCAAGATTGACCTAAAGCCATCATTGATGTAGAACTAGCTTAGCAAGGCTGTGCTTGCCACCAGCTGATGCTTTAACCATCTCCACACAGCTGTCTGCTCCCAGGAGGCGATGACAGGTCCCTGCCGGGCTATGATGCCTCGTTGGTACTTCGACATGTACAAGAAAAAGTGCATTCGCTTTATATATGGAGGCTGCGGAGGCAACAGAAACAATTTTGAGTCAGAGGAGTATTGTATGGCTGTGTGTAAAAAGATGAGTAAGTTCGGCCTCCCACTGGTCCTCTTGCAGCAAGCTGTTGTCCTGTCTGTCTTCTCCTCCTTGACTAGGTCCAAGGAAGAGTGTGTGTAGCTTTGTCCTATAGATCCTGGTGTCTGTTCTACAGTAGTTCCTCCATTGTCTTTGTGCTCAGATTTTAGGCTCAGCTTCTGCTTCTGCAGCCAGAGAGTCCTCGCTTTTTTCTCACACCCTTGTCTGCCTCTCCATCTGTGCAGTGGCTTGGCAAATCCTCTTCTGGATGTCATGGTGGAGGGTTGGGGGTTTGGCTTAGGGCTCAACTGCTGTCACCATTTAGCCCCTCTCCTTGATGCCCTTCCCATGGGATCTGTGCATCTCTTCCACCATTTCCTTTATGTTTTAGCCTCTGGAATAGCTTTTTCCTAATGCTCTTTTTTCAGAGACAAAGTTCTGCTTCATATTTCTGACCTCGGGAATGTGGTCTACAGCCTGATGATTCTAGATGATCGTCTGAGGCTTCTCCTACCATTTTTACTGACTTTTAAAATAAGACTTCCCACCAAAAGTTAGCTTACTGTTAGTTATTGTTATTGTCATTACTTATAAGATTTATATTCTGGTTCAGCCTAAGGATTCTCAGTGGCGTATGCTGGAACATCAGCAACAAAATCACTTGTGCACAAATTACTTGCGCCAGTCAGTGCAAAACAATACATTAAATATGTAATACCTGATTGACAGTTTAATGGAAGCAACCTACATTCATCACAATCGATCTCTGAAGACTTCCTCCGGTCACCATCCTTCAGAAGGCCATTGTTGATTTCCACCACTTCCATTTTAGCAGTTTCAGAGCCTTTTCCTTCCTTTTGGGGGTGGGGGGGTGCTTTCTTTGGCTTGGCGCTCTGTCTCTCCAGCCCTAATCCTGTGTACCAAATGGGTTCTGTGCAAATGCCTTTGACCGGATTGAACCGATAGCAGTGATGAGGTTAAAACCTGTGGCTGTCAAGAACTTTGGCGACAAGAGTTCATCCGACCTCAGAAGGATTTAGGGGCAGAATTTGGGGCCTCCGCATCAAAGCTTGATTCCAACCCATTGAATCACATGAAACCAATCTGGTTTGTGTTCCTGATAAAGAAATAATGCTACTTTCTATGGGAAGGATACGTCATCTTCCTCTTAACTCTTTTTCATGTTGGAGTAACAGGCTTAGGGGTTCAAGTACCAGCTCAAGACTAGCATTTGGGGCTTGATCAAGAATATTGTCCAAAAGGCACTCTGCGCCTTATTATGAATGCAGTGCTCAGGTGTTTCCTCTGCCTGAAAGCAGAACAATTTGAATGAAATTAGTTGACCTAAAAAAAGGGACAGATTAATCTCTGGGATCTGGATTTGCACTGAATCCCTTCTTACATTAAATTCTAATCCACATTTTGCATACATTGATAGATAGTCATGATTCCCATTTTTCTAAAACATTAGTAGCCCATCCCTTTTTGCTACATCTCTGCAAGGCAGCCAAAGGAATTAAAATAAAAAAAAAATTTAAGCTGTATTTAAATACCTGAACTATATTTTAGGAGGGGAGGAGGAGAAAAACCCAAGTTAGTGAAAGGGATGTGCTTCTGCTACGGAAAAGAAACAAGGATAGCCAGACCCTGGAATGGAAGAATTTGGGGACTATTGTTACAGAAAAAAATTGGAGTGCTAGTCACTGTTGTTTGCGTTCAGATGGCATTAACACAGCAAGCAGGACCTTTGATCCTGGCACTGAAGTAGGTTTGTATGGCAGGCCAGACCTTTCAGACCTGGCGTCTGAAGAGTGTTGTGGTTCTTGATGCTAATTACTCTGAATTTTGGAGTGGTTGAGCATGCATGCCTTCACGCCATGCACACTTATTATAAGCTGGCAAAGGGGTAAGCAAATTGCAGAGAGCCTACCCTGAAGGATGACATGGATTGGCCAGTTGTCATAAAAATCTGCTTTGCTGTGCCTTTTTTTTTTTTGTCTTGCTGCACCACCGTGTGTGTGTGTGTGTGTGTGTGTGTGTGTGTGTTAGTCCCTCCCCTGATAAGGCTGATAGGAACAAGTGAAGCCTGAAATACAAAATTTCTTAAGGATGAATCGTCAAACAAATCCAGCCATTTCATTTCCTTTGGCAAGGGGAGGGTGGCCTTTTATTGGCGAGCACATGCATGCAGCTTGTAGCAGTGACCATCAGGAGAAGCAGGAGAGCTGCATCCTCGGCAGTTACCTTACCTTAATTGATCCTTCTTCAGGAACGACTACTGCGGGAAAGTGGGGAGGATCTGGGAACACCCCCAAGAGTGCTTTAGCTTGGAGCTTAAAGTGCTTCAGAAAACTGGCAGTTGGCTGAAGCCAAGAGGGTATTCCAAAGAGGAAGGTTAGAACATTCTTCTCAGGTTAGTGGGCATCAGTGTTTTCCTTACCCTACTAACCAACCTAAACCCAGAAGCAGCTACTTAAACCAGAACTAGTGACCTAGTGAGTCCCTCACTTTTGTCATCTTCCTAGTTCCCCCGACTCCTCTGCCTACTGATGACGTAGATGTCTACTTTGAAACACCAGCTGATGACAATGAACACGCCCGTTTTCAGAAGGCCAAAGAGCAGCTAGAGATTCGACATCGTAACCGCATGGACCGGGTGAGTCCTTCCTAAGCTGTGCTGTAGCTACTCTCAGCCTCCTTGGCAGCCTTGTGGTTAATCCTGCTGCTTTCTTGTCAAGAATTTCATTCGTTGCTTTTCAGTTTAGCCAAGTTTTTTTAAAAAGCTTTTTTTTGTGGGTGAGGGGAACTTTAGTAGTAAAAGCCATAAACTTCCTAAGCTGGTTGGCAAGCTTAAATTGGAAAGCATTGATCCATCTTAGGCGTTCTGACTCATTTTATGGAAGGTACTCTGGAAATTGTATGGAAAAGGGTATTTGATTAGAGTCGCTGCACTACGTTGTCCTTAGCCAAAGAGACCACATTTCTGAACTTTCCAAACTCTTTAGGTAAAGAAGGAATGGGAGGAAGCAGAAAAGCAAGCCAAGAATCTTCCAAAGACAGAGAGGCAGGCCTTGATGCAGGTAAGTCACTGTATCTCAGAAACGAATGAAACTATTTATTCCTAGAATTGAAATACATTTTATAATCTGTAACAGGAGGAGGCTTTGCGAGAATGGTTGACAGTCAAACCAAGACTATGAAACTAAAGTTTTCACTTAACTGGTGTTGGACCAAGGTTGTGTTGTCTCATTAAGCTATTCTTTCACCCCTTTTACCTCTGACTTAGAAGGTGAAACCAGTCAGTGGAAAATGCCATAGCTGGATTTTGGCAAGGCTCTGATGTGGCTGGTTAAAGTTATAAACTTGGTGCAAGCTTTTTTTTTAAATACCTACTCTCTTGGTATAGCAGAGCTCTTTATTTTGATACAGAACTGATCCTTCTACACTTCTAGTGGTGAAGTCACCAGGCTAGAAATCAGGAGACGGTGAGCTCTAGTCCCACCTTAGGCACGAAAGCCGGCTGGGTGAAGTTCGGGCAGTCCCTCTCTCTCAGCCCAACCCAACACACAGGATTGTTGTGGGGAAAATAGGAGGATGAAGGAGGACTAGGTTTGTCCATGCCTTGAGTTATTTATAAAAAATAATAAAAGCAGGATTAAAACATCTAAAAAAAAATGGATTGTAACAGTTGGAGGATTTCTGGAGTTCATAATGGATGTGGATAAATAATCTCATTTCCCCCCCTCGCCCCCAAATGAGTTTGCAGTAAGACGAGCAAACTTTCACACATAGTATCTGCTAGAATTTAACATTTAAAAAATGCAGTGTTTCGTACAGGTTGAACAACAACTCACCAGGCTTACACCCCTCTGTTTATTAAAACAAAAAACAAAAACATCGTACCAAGTCACTTATATTGAATATTGCCATTTTGAGGGGCATGAAATTGAGGTTTGGGATCTCAAATGAACATGTATGTAGCATTACGGATTCACACATTTACTTTGTCATAAACACATTATCTGATTTTGAACCAGCTCTCAAACAGTTAATCATATCTAAATTCAGTGGTTGGCTCTCCTAGTAAAAATGAGACTTTATATATTTAGTATTAGGAGCATCTGTTTTCTTATCCGTAGTTCCTTTTGCCCTTGTATTCATTTGCTGTGTGTAATTAGTTTGGAATAAGACCACAGCTGTATCTGAACTGAAATGTCCATCAGGGACTTCACAGCCATATCTTCCAAATGAAAATTAAGAAGAAGCAAAAGCGATTTTACATCATTTTGCAAGTATTATGCAATTGATGAATCTGAAAGCGGCTATTTAGGGTGAAAGGAACTGATCTCTTTGCCACCAGCTAATAAAGATTCCTTCAATATCATCCTTCTACAGCGATTCCAGACGATGGCTAAGTCACTTGAGAAGGAAGCTGCGAGTGAAAAACAGCAACTTGTGGAAACTCACCTAGCTCGCGTAGAAGCCATGCTGGATGATCGCCATCGCATCGCCCTGGAAAACTACCTTGTTGCTCTGCAGACTGACCCCCCACGGGTAGTGTACCCCACAGGATGTTTCCCTGTCAGGCAGGAGTGGAAAAACTGGCTGAGGATGGGGAAAGGGTGATACTACTGGAGATACTGAAAAGGGAGCCTTCTAGATGCGGTGTTAGTACGATGGGCGTTGCATTACAATGGGGCAGGAACTGCTAAATGTATTTATTTATCATATTTATATAGCTGCCCATCTCACACAAAGCGACTCTTTGAGATTAATTTGAGATGCGACTGAGGCAAACGCCCTCAGTTTGCCGTAGGAGTGTCTCCTTCGTTTTGCCTTGCTTACTGTGAGGGTAGAACGATGTTCAGTCTCCCACAGAGGGAAATAAATTGAAAAAAAATTCCTTTTATCTGGCTTACCTTCTGCAGCCCCACCGCATCCTCCAAGCCTTGAAACGTTATGTCCGTGCTGAGAACAAAGACAGGTTGCATACAATCCACCATTACCAGCACGTTTTGGCTGTGGATCCCGAAAAGGCCGCACAGATGAAATCACAGGTATAAAGAAATTCCTTTGAAGTGCTTTAGCTAATATTTTATAAGCCCATGCCTAGCCTCACAGCATCTGTCTCAATTCAGTGTGAATTAAAGAGGATATCTGGAATATTTCACTTACCAACATCTTTGTTCTCTGAGGGAGGAGTGACCTTTCTTCCAGAATACCCACCCTGCTCTGTGCTGCAGTTCCTCTTCTTCGGTCTTAAATGTGCAAATTTTGAACCGGCTTAGATATAATAAATGGTAGCTTATAAAGATACAAAGGATGTGCAGTAAATCTGCATTCTGGCCTAGCCATAAGAATGATTGGAAGGTTTGTTTGCGTGTTTCATGAAACGGCTTGTTGCATCATGTAAAAGATTTCATATTAACTCTCGCTTGTGTGAAATAAACCAGATTCAGAACATGCTCATAGTTCAACAAATCATAGAAGCATTTTTACACTCACTTTTTACTTTCAGACTCAAACTGCAAAACCGCCTACACGGTAACCGAACTTATCATTGCTGCAGTTAAAATGAGGCAACAGTTAACATCCAACCTAACGTGGCGATCTCCTCTTTCCTTTTTTTTTTTTTCTTTAGGATTTTTTTTTTTTTTTTTTTT